AGAGTCATCCATTCCCAGGAGAACCAGCAGTGGGATGGTGGTCATTCCCCCATGGACCCACTCCTGTAGGGACACAAAGCCGTCCTGATCGTAGTCCATCCCTTGCAACATCTCCTTCAATATCTGTGGAATCCAAAGAACAATGGTCCATTTTCATTCTTGGCAGTTGAGGATGTCTCTCCCTGTGTTTCCTCTTTGATTCTGTACTGTGTGTTCTGTTTCACCCAGTTCCTCTCTTATTCTGGGTGAGTACAGCGTCAAAGCATGAGACCAGCAGTGAGGAGACCAGGGTTCTAGGTCCATCTCTATCGTGCCCTGTGTGGCCTTCAATGTACACCACAGCCTCTGTGCTCTGAGTTCCTCATCTTAAAAATGGAAATAATGCTGCTGTGGTTTCAGCCCTGTAGCAAGGATGGGAGACAATGCGTAAGAAGTGTTTGATGGAATACCGGATACACAGTGCTTTCTACAAATGCAGTGCTTACTAACAGGTAATGATTGAGAAATTGTAGTTGTTCCTGGATCTACATTCTTTAATCTATGAAGTTCTGTCATGAAACTTGGAAGGAACTGTGATTTCTATCATGGCTAGACCTTTTGCGGCTGCTTTGCACATCTTTCCTTTAGGAGAAGTGGGAGGTCAGAGCACAGGAATCCAAAGAAGTTGTTGGCAAGATGAGTCTGGGCCCCCTAGACAGTAAGCATTTAAGCATTTGCACCCACATCCCAGTGTGTCCTACCCTCTCTTGGCAGCTCACCCTGTAGGCAAACTGTGTTTAGAGAAGAAACTCACAGGCCTTAGCTCTGTGGGATCCCACTCCAGGTACTGGGCAATATGCAGCATTTGGTTCATAATACGATCCATCTCCTAGGAAGTATCAGGAGAGAAAATGTTAAGGGGACAAAACCAACAGGGTATTATCAAAACCAAAACTCAAAATTAAACACAGTGGGTAGGTGGACAGAGCAGAGCTCCAGGAAAAACTGGTGCAATACACTGGATTTTCACAGGGAGTGCAGTTTGCTTCTGCCTTGACGGTAAGGCCAGTGGGCAGCAAATACTCACCTGAAGCACAGAGCATGCATAAGCCAGAGGAACATAGAGTTCACTGAACACTGACGTCCTAGCCCTACGTTCCTTCCACTGTTCTGTACTTTAACTTGAAAACCACAGGAAGTTTCCCCTTTGTGGTTAGAACTTCCACAAACACACTTGAAGGTAGGCCTTACCTTGCCTTTCTCTCTCTTTTTTGGTGTTTTTGAGATGGTCTCCCTGTAGCCCCAGCTGGTCTGGAACTCGCTATGTAGACCAGGCCTTGAATTCACAGAGATCCCCCTGCTCTGTCTCCCAAATGCTGGGACGAAAGGCATGCGCCACCACGCCTGGCTTCACTTCACCTTTCTTACCCCCCCTCATCCTCACACCTTTAGCAGTTTGCTTTCTATCTATCTGCTTCTGAAGTTGGGTTCACTTGGACAGAAGGTCCTGGCTTCACTGAGATTTAGATTCATTTAGGCATCTTCCCTCTCCTTTGCACTCCAGTCTACCCTGAGCCTAGAACTTCCATGAGCAGAAAGTTCATAATTATGGGGCTTATTTGCCAGATGGGTATCAAGGCCAGGTTTACCTAAAACCTTACAGATACGTTGAATGCCAGTGAGTCAGTGCATAGAGGGACCCACTGAGACATATCGGGTTGGGGAGGTGTTTTGGTGTCAAAATCAGCACCTTGCGTGTGGATAACGACTAAGATGTTCACAATAAAATTGCTATAGGAGAACGTGTCAGTGAACTGAAGCAGGGTTGCAAATATTACCTCCGTTATGAGAATGCAGGGTCAAGACAAGCAAGCTAAGCCCCAACGGATATTTATTACCTCCCCCAACTCTGTATGTGCCTCCTCTCCTTCCATCCCTCGCTCCC